AAAGAAACAATCTGCATTCGCGTTAACGTAAAGGAATAAATCCAATGCTGAAGACACTTGAGTACATTGATATAAATCAAGATAGATCATATTGCATTTAGTTCTACAAAATAATACTTATCTAATCCGAGAGTAATATAACACTGACGCAGCGAAAGTTCGCTGACAATGCAATTGATATTTTATTTCTTCCGTTCTTTACTTGTTATTCTAGCAGTCATAGAAGTAACATTAATAATGAAAAGAAGACAGCAAGTAATGTTATTAATTAATAAATAAGCGGTTGTAAATTTGCAGTGTCAAATTACTACGTAAAAAATCGTTGTCTTACTCACGATAATTTGCTACTATACGACTAAAAATATTGTACAATGCAACGAGTAGAACAAACAATGCAACAAAAGTATATAAAAATGCATGCCGATGAGAATTATAAAAAAAGATTATTGTTTCCGCGAAATTTCATTATTGCTAATTTTAATCAATTTATTGGTGATAATAAATGTTTAAGATGAATGTTACAGTTAGATTAAATGTAATTATATTTTGCAATTAAATCTGTTCGAATTATTACATAATATCATATATCATGAGAAAGATAGCATTGTTTGTATTAAAAAGAAATAATTCTTTCTTTCTTTGTTCTCCGTTATTTGTTTGGACGTTTCTATGAAATTTACGTAGAAAAAGGATATTATTTATCACCATGACTATATTTCATTCACGTTCGTTTACACACGTACTGTACATAAGGTGATATTCAAAACAAATTAAATAACCGTGACTAATTAAGAATGCATGATAGCGCACGCATATCTACAGCACGCTTATTTACAGCAAGCGATTACGCCGTAGCTACTGTATTTCACAATATTCGCATACGTGGCTGAAAGAAACGTGGCTTGCTGATATATTTTTCATATTTTGCTAAAAAATGAATTCAACATACGGTCATAGCCAGTACGTACTTTACGGTTGGCGGCGAATCGATCCGCCCGATGCTTCCGTGCATTTTACATTTTATCGAACGGTTCTCCATAGACCGCGTGTGTGCGTGATGACTCGTCTATATTTACACACGCGTATGTCGTGCTTCGTGCATTCGTGCGAGTCCCCCATGAACCAGAAAACAGCAACTCTTGCGTCAACGACTTGACGACGGTGCAACTGTTACATGATTATCCGTCGCTTACATGGTTTAACCTTAACCCGGTTTCGCACCTCGCACCCGTCGAATACAATAATGGTAGGTAAGTAAATAGTCGACTTTAGGCTTACGAAGCCGTTTCTTTGCGACAATTTACAACAAAAGCTATATTTATTTTCATCGTTTCTATATTCTCATATCATCCAACACAATCGATTCAAAGTGCGATTTACGGTGCGGTTTCTATTTTTCTCCTGGTACACTTTACATATGTATAAAAAATTATTTTTATTCTTACTGGAAATCAGCGCTAAACTTAATATTTGCACAAAGTTTGCAGAAAATAAGAAAAAAGGTAACACGTTTACTTATTTTTTAAATTAATTACGTAATATCTGCTAAATTCTTTCAATTATTTCATGAATTTGTTTCATATGTATTCAATAAGTATTTTTTTGTAAATAAGCAACAACATCAACATCTTTAATGTAATTTGTTCAAGATATTAAAAAAGAGTGCTATAATGATACCCACATTATCATATCTTAGAGCGTTTTTTTTCACGTTCTTACGTATCTAAGTATGCAAAAGTTGATCACGACTGCAAAAATTCAAAGAAAACGAGTCACGCAATAATATATTCATCATATTGCACGTCAGCTGATATAGCGTGAGTTATCACGCCTTCATAAAACTGATACAAGCGCTCATTTCATAATTGCAAATTTTTACAATTATTATCTTGTTATTATTATTCACATTTCAAAACAAATCACAGACTAAATATAAAATTAAATAAGATAAGAAAAGTAATAAAACATTTGATATTTGAGGATATTCACATCCAACGAATAGAGAATGGAATGCTTAACTTAGCTATCTCTTAAAACGCGATTTTTGTTTGCGATATGATCGTTATCCAATCGTGCATACGAGAATCGAGCATTATATGTATATACAGACGCAAGCAGAATCACTATACATATTAAACCAGCATTAACTGAATATTACCAGAAAAAATTCATAAATGTAAAAATAACATTAAAGTTTAACTAAGGTTTTCAACTGACGGGAAACATATAGACATTTCTTATTCTGCGCTAAAAACGATATGTGTTCATAACTCAAGTTATTGCACCTGAAGAGATTGAACAATATGATAAGAAGATGGCAAACACTTTCTTCATGAACAAATCTGTTTATAATTTTAAGATACATCTGTTTATTATGCTTTTATATCGTAATATGTGATTCACAATATTTTATAATGAACTAAAAAAGTATCACGTATACATATATTGATAAATGCTTCATATAATTATTCAATTAGCAAGTTAAGTTCGTTTGGTTGGCGATACGAGAGAAGATACGGATAACTATAATTAAATTTTTAAAAAAGCAACTTAATTTTTTCCGGAATATTTTATTTATATTATTCATATAAATAACTCATTTTTGCTTAATATTTTTATAGTTTTGAATTATGAATGAAGATAATTTTAACACGTATAATATGATTTATAAAAACGAATATTTGTTATGTATCTCGCATATTTAAATAAATTAATTTTTATTAAGAAGTTTAAAATTTTTTAAACTTGTATGTTCCATGTAATTAATACATTTTTATTATAAAATATAACAATTTTAATATATCCTCAAAATTTTTTACGATTTCATACAATTTTTCATAAGAATATTTTTATTTTATTATTCAGTATTCACTTAGCGTGAAAAACAAGATTACAAAAATGAAATATAACTTGTTATTTGACAAATAACATGTCACCTTTCAATATCTCAATGCATAAAAATGTAAATTAAGAAAATAGTAAAAAAGATGAATGATAGTATAGGTATAATAAAAGCGAAAGCAAACTAATTCTTCTTTTGGAAAGTTTTTCCATTCAATGCATTTTGCAGTGACCTAAACAGTTAGAAACCTATCAGGGTCTGAAGAATAAGGCGGATGTGATAAAACCGACCATAAAAGTCTCTTGTCAGAATTTTTCGAGGAAATAATTAATAAATTAATAAATCTAAATGAGAACAAATTGTACTTAAAAATGGTAAATAATTGATTAAAATTTATTGTAACATTTAAAATAAAATTTTCAATTTCAGCATTAAATTTATTTATGAATCAATTCAATATTATCGAAGTTAGCTTCCGTTGCAATTAAATTTTTGCTCTTTCTTTAGTTTTTACACATCTTTGCCTGTTTTATTTATACGCAATGTTACTTTTATTATGCACTACTTGTCACTGAACAATTTTAATTTTGACAATGTTTATTAAAAGAAATACATGCTTTGACTAGATAAAACAAATGTAAGTAATGTCCATGGACAGAAAACACGTTCCAGCGTTTATTGTTGTCAGGGTCATTCAGGAAAAAAAAATTTCTCTTACTTGAACTGATCTCCGTTATGATGTCAGATTGTTCAATGTTGAAATTTTGAAAAGTCGTTGCACTCACTGTTTTAACTCACTGAGTCTCTGATTTTTAGGTGACTAGCTCTCGCTACTCTTCTGTGCATCGGTGACAAAGGCCTAACAGGTCTTCCGAGACACCAAGAGAGCGCAACTTCCACGACGAGAACTCAGCGCAGACTGACGCAGCGGTTGTTCGCGTGGTCTGTCTAACCCATGTCGCCAGTTATACTACCACTGAAGTCAAACGCAAGTATACAGTATGTACGTCATTGATATCAGCATGGCTTGAAGCAGTGTTTCTCAAACTCTCTTCATGAGATAAGTAGTTTTGCATTAAACAGTATTTGTTAGTTGTTTTTGGCCTTTTAAAAAATTTAATCTAAAATAAAATAAATTTTGCTCCAATGAATAAAAACAACAAATTAACTGTATATATTTGAATTTCTAATAAAATTTTATTTTAACGTCAATGGAAAAACCCATGAATGGAAAAGCCCAGTCTATTAATAATATTAAGGAAATGGGTATAAACGTAAAATTTTAGCTGAGGTATTATCTTTAATGTTTTTTTCTTCTTGTTTTATAAATTTGACAGATATTAGCTCAAAGGATTTTTATAGCAATATATAATTTGTGCACACATATCAATCATCGTATATACAACAAATTTTTTAATTCAATAATTTAATAAAATTAAAAAAATTATTGTTATCTATAGCGATCAGTCTATTCTTATTTAATCATAAACTTCCTTATTAGTGTCGCGTATTTTTCCGAGAATAAAAAACTTAAAATATAATCTTGGTTTATTATTTGATTGACGCCAAACTCGTGGAAAAATTCAACCATTGTTTACAAGAAATTTTTCTGATTAATTAAATGCTGTTTAACGCAAATGAAGTGGAAAATCAATAGTAGCATTTCGATAACGAGGACTGGCAACATTTGCGAGCAACAAGTTGCTCTGATCACGTCATAATCGTAAGCATCTCATTTAGAACAACGGTACAATTAATACAACTTCTATCGCGACGAGCCTCTCGAGACAGGATCAATTTATGCATCGAGTAATATTCCTACCTGGTTTAATCTACAAGCTTTAAATCAAACTACGTGATGGTAATACGATACTATCGATGTTGACTCACACTCACACACGTAACCAACACGATATGTCGTATAAACACAAGATTGCGTTTCGATGTCAACGGAAAGACGTAGCCCATTAACGGTATTACAAGGAAAGGTAAGAAAGTAAAAACACGATAAATTTATAAGAATATTTAAAATAATTTTAAATGTTGAAAATAAATATTAAGGATTACTCTAACGCTATAAATTAAAAAATGTGTGTTTTTGTAGAAATACTTAACTGTTAGTATAAAAAGATAAATTTATTTGACTATGATGTTTTAATGTACTTATGTTGATTAGAAAAAAGTAAAAATAATTAGTAATTTGATTGATAACGCAAGCAAAGAGAAATAAAAATATAATTTTGATGCATTGACGAGACATGCACACACAGTATTATATCGGCTTTTCGTTCGTCAAAAGAGAAAAGACGTAACGATCGAAATTGCAACAGGTGAGCTGAATAAGTAGTTTTAATCTATTTACAAACTTGATATCTGATTTTGTGGATAGCTTAAATATCAAGTACTTTTTATCCGATATCTATATCGTAGTAAGAATAATTTTCAAGAGAGTGAAGATAATAAGTTCTTATCCAAAATTAAATCAACATATTATCTAAATAGAATATAACTCTAAAGAGAGATAACATATTCGTGACTTATTTGTGATATTCCAGCTATTTGAATAAATCAAATAGTCAAAATTGTCTCTATGTTATTTTAAGAGCATGTTTACATAAGATATTGGCTTTTTCGAAAGATTATGCACACATATACATATATCGTGACTTTGACCATGATTCTGTTATAAAGAAATGCAACTATAACAAGTATTTTTATGATATACACGTTTCATTTTATTATTACATTACAGTATTTATTAAAAATAATACCACACAAATATTTCTATGTTAATATAATCATCTATAATCTTTCAGAGACGAAGATGGATAACATATGTACATAATCTTTCGAAAAAATTCATATCAATCAAAAATCAATATCTTATGTTAATATGCTTTTAAAATAACATAGAGAGAAATTTAAGGAATAGATATATTCAAATAGCTAAAATATCACAAATGAGTCACGAATATATTATCTCATTAGAATAATATCCTATTTAGATAATATGTTGATTTAACTTGAGGTAAGAACTTATTATTTTACTCACTTGAAAATTATTTTTACTACGATTTATATTTATATATATATAGATATTTATATATTTTTTTGTATTAATATTAAATAACTAAAGTACGGAATGCAAAGATGCAATACAAAGATTAACAATTAAAATATTAAAAAGACTATAAGAAAACTAAAGAAGAAAATATCTTTATATATATACATACATTAGCGATTGAAAAGAAAGATATGCCGAATAGTTACATTGATAATATCTGCGCAAAAAATATTACAGAAATAGTCTTATCACAGTAAATAAAGTTTAAGATTTCTTTTGTCTGATGTTTTAATCATTTAAAGTTGTTGACTTGTTGATATTACTAATTATCTGAAGTGTTTTTGCTAATAAGTGGTTTTTTTCCTAACAAAGAAGAAGTAATATCAAATGATGTCATATATTAGAAACTGTCTGACAAACATAAAAAAAGTAAAAAAAATGCTAAATGTTTATATATACGCGCGATTTACACTCATATTCTAATTATTTTGCAGTCGCGCATTTTTGAGATAGGAAAAAGTAACATAAAAGATTTTTAATAAAGAATGTTAAGGACCTGAGATCTCTTGTCAATATTTCTATAATCAATACGATCTCAATTACTATAGTCACAAAATTTTAAGTATTTGGTTGAATTTTATTATCCATTAATATAAAATTATATCAAGTAAATAAGAATAATGTTAAAGAAATTATAGAATTTCTGTGCATCATATGATGTACTGCTAATCAATTGTAAAACAATGTTAGCAAGCATCGAAAAAGAAGTGAAAATAATGATTATTGTTTGCCGAACAACTTGTGTATATGATCGTTCTTTACGCATTTCCTTCCTCCTTTTCCTTGGTTTCATTCATTCACCAAGGCCACCCGGTTTTAAATGCGGAACCATTCACATACGTCATTTAAATACTCACATATTTCCGCATTTCTTTGCTGAGCAATGTATTCTAACATTTCTCCATTGTTTATTCTGGCATTACTTTTCAAATATATTTACACATACAATAGCCTATTGTAAATAATATCGCTTATGCAATTTTCTATATTAAAAATTTAACTCTTCGATTTTTTGATATAACAAAGTGTTTTACACAAACTCCATAAATTAATTGTTAAAAAAACTACAAATAGAATTAAGTATAAAATAATTAATATACACTTTTTTCAGGCGATTAATTTTACACCAAGATAAAACTTGTAAATTGTCGATATTTGATACTAATGACAGAAGTTTACTTTCGAGCAACGTCTAGGCGCCACATCGTTTGCAAGAAAAATTAGAATACATTATCGGTACTTCGTAACAGTCTTAGAGTTAAAAAAATACTTTCAAGTAGCTGGCAATCAGTATACAATTACGATATCGAGTGTCCTTTATCTCAACAAAATATTCACGCCTCAATACACATCGACATGCGCTGTTGTGCGCATTTTAATAAAGTTGTCAGCGATAAATGCGCAGTACGCCAGCAAAATATAAATATTCTTTGCAAGTATAAATACACATATAGATACTTCATATAAATAATATTGTATTTAACTTTGAAATGAGAGAGAGAGAGAGAGAGAGAGAGTAATTGAAACCATCACAATTCTACCTGTGCTACACAAATTTATATTTTTTTATATTTTCATATTATTAATTGAAATGATGATCGACTATTAATACAAATGGCTGCAAACAGCTGGAAACTGAATCGAACTCTTGCAAAAAACACCGAGACAATTCGCTTTCGGATTTTGGACAAGTAAAGGCAACTGAGCAGAATTTTAAGTTAAGCATCACGTGAAAACATCGAGATAGTTATTCCCGAATTTCTTTCAAGAAATATAATTTGCACACATGCGACAGTGCGTATAATGCAAAGTTGGATTACTAGCTTTCGGATGTTTGTTTCGGAAAAAATCTTCGTCACGTAAGTGCTTTTCGGGTACAAAATAATCACAAACATTAGAATTTTAGAGACTTATCCTTATCATACAATATATTTTTATAATGCGCGTATATAGATACTGATAATACTATGTATATTGCAATGCACCGATGCATTAAGATACACGAGTGGTATCGAGACCAAATAAGTTGGCGAATTGCCAAAAAAAATACATTTATATGTTTGAACAATTCAGATATGTAAAATAATCGAATTTTTTACCTGACTAATATAGATGTGTATATCCATGTCACGATAAAAGTACATGCAGTGTGTATGAGCATGTGCAGCATAAAAAACTGAGAAAATCCGTTTTTGTCACATGTCGCCACGTCAATTTTTCGCTGAGTTATAACGTTTTGAAAATTCGGCACCTGTCGTCTATAAATAGAGTGAAGATGCGCCGCGATTCACAGAATTGTGTGATACGCGGAAAAGTGTGGAATGCGTGGAATGCGGAGATGCTATTAATACTATTATGACCTAGATTGATTCGTAGTAAAGGCATTGACCTATGGGGACGTGGCAGACGCTCGACTTTTATCATCGGTCAATTTCGGGACGTATGTCGGAATCACTCGGGATGCATATGATCAAGGATCGATGAGATTGCGCGGGAAAATGTAGTAAACAAATGTCAATTAAAGGTAAGAGATTAGTACATTTTATAAGGCCAAAATCATTTGTCCCAAGTAAATAATTTCAATAATATCATCAATTAATTACAAAAACAAAATTAACCACTTTGATATTTAGTATAACAACGCAAAATAATTGCTAGCTTGGTTTGCCACATTTATAGGTTAAAATGGCAAGTAGAGAGCATTTTTAATTAGCTATTTATCATTGGTGTATTTACTTGTAAACATTTGTTTTTAAAAATGTTTGTGAAAATCATATAAATGTACTATATTAAATTTTGTTATTAATTCTATAATTTATTACAGCTGAAGGAACTAATTATGGAACAGCCAATTCTGTAATCAAAAGAATATGTGAAAAAGGATAAATAAAAGATTACAGGATTTGTACAGTGAGGTGCTATTAGCAATGTTCATTCACATAATATATTTACAAAGTAAGTTTTATATTAGTAAATATTATGTTGAATTGGTCAATTACTTTATAGATACACGAAATGCTGTCAATTAGATTCATAATATTTAGTTTAAACTTTAGTTTTGAGAAATTTATCTAAAATTTAGCTATGTTTGTAAAAATTATTAGTATAATATTTATTAAAATATCTAATTCCTACTACATCCAAGAAAATATTTATTTGCGTTTAAGTAATTTATTTTCTTAATAAATATTTACTCATATTTAGAAAACGTTTTCTTAAATCAAGTAATATTTTTTTAAAACTAAGAAATGATTTTTTGAGATCTAATATATGTATTTACTTAAAAGTAGTAGTCAGTTTCAAATAAATATTTCTTTAAATTCAGTTTTTAAATTACTTGAATAAAAAAACTTGACTTTAGAAAAAAATGTTTAAATTTAAAACTACATTTTCTTGAAAATAATATTTATTTATATTCACCTACGTAATTTACGTACTCTGTACGTTTTAAATTTTAAAATATGTTATTCTTATCCCAAAATTACCATGAATAATGTCGCATAGCGCGGATACATATACTATTGTTTCACGTCTATCTCAGAACTCGTGATGCTTATCTACGAATGTGTTTAATACTGTTTGTTGACGTAATTTATCGGCGCACAGATAAAATTTTTTCGTCAATAATGTAGGTGATTTTCCAAGGTAATGTATGTTTTGGGCAACTGCGTTTAAATTCTTCAAACATATGTTTTAAATTAAATAGTAGGAATTAAATATTTTAATAAATATTATACTAATAATTTTCACACACTAAATTTTAGTTAAATTTTTTAAGATAAATTTCTCAAAATTAAAGTCTACATTGAATATTAGGAATGTAATTAATCAATTTAAATATTGTTAACTTTATCTATATGCAATTTGTGAAATGTAGTGTATTAATGACTACGCAAAATGAAAATATTACGTAAAAATGGAAAATAAGATAAAATTTTAAATTGATCTTAATTCTCATTAGTATATTACACGGTTCTTATTTCCCGTTAAAAAGAAACATTAGTCTGATTATGCATATTGCAAATAAGCACATAAGATCAAGTTGCAACAACTTACGTCATTGCGTAATGCTGAGGTCACCATAATGTTGCAATTTCAAGTATCATGCTAATGAAGAAAGATAATTACTAGAGATTATCTTGTAATACGTTTATATATCAACTTTTAATTTTATCGAATTTATATTATTGTTCAAAATAAAAAAATATGTGAAGTAATTCTTTTTATGTGCACTGGATAAGCTATTAAAATATCACAATAAGTATAATATAATATAAATATGTGAAGTGTATTGCAATATGTAGCTTTAATGCAGCAATGAAACATATAATTTCCACGATAGCTAATGAGAATTAATAGATAATATAAATTCATAACTACATTGAACATATATTCTGTGCTGTACGTGCGTGAATGCATACTTACATGCAATTAAATTTTCTTAATAAGAAAAGGAAATATTTTTGATTAACTGAATACAATATAACATGAAAAAATTGTTTATTCATATAACTCATTTTCGCGATTGGTTGGTTTTTATATATATACATATACATTGCAAAATGGACAATATTTAAGATATTGCAATTTGTTAAAACTAATATTTTATTTTTTGCTAAAGTTTTAGTAATTTTTGTAGATAAATTTTATAAATTATACTTTGTAATTACTTGCTGTACATATATACATAGTTTGTTGCACAAAGTCTTATGCTCATTTTCACCAATGTAGATTAACTGTAATCTCGGTTCAATTTACTCTTCATCTTTTTCTAGTTCTAAGAATTAGAAAAAAGTGAAGAGTAAGTTAAACCGAAATTAAAGTTAATCTACGTTGGAATCGGGCGTTAATGTAGCAAAAATCTGTTGATTCTTAAAAGTTTTATGCCGTTAGTGCAATGGGCTCCTGAATTTTTTCTTTTGTACGATTTTTATCTTGTTCTGGTAAATCTGTTGGCACATCTGGTAGTACAACATTGGTTGGTATTTCAGGAGCTTTTTCATTGATTTCTGCTTCCATTAGCGCATCCAATTCTGCTTCAATTTCATCTTCATCAATTTCATCCTCTGAAGTCATTGTCATTGTCGATGTCAATATTTCATCTATTTCTTTTTGTTTTTCAATACCCTCTATTGTTTCATCCATGACCTTTTCGATATCATCTATAGATAACAAAGCGTGTAACTGCTTCAATGCAGTATTACCCACTTTTAGGCCATCGACAACTTTCATTTCAACTTGAGCAAATTCTAAGTCATGGACCATACGTTCAAGATTTTCCAGCTGTCCATCTACACGTGAAAGAACTTGTTCTTGGTATTTTTTCTTGCGTAAGAGAAGCAATGCACGGCTGAAAATTATAAAATAACATTAAAAAAGAAATGTAATGCAGATGTTTCAATATAATACTTAAAAAGATGAAATAACACTTACTCTTTCCTTCCATTTTTTAAAAGTTCTTTTGCGAGCGATCGTTCCTTCTCCAAACTTTGTTCAATTCTTCTTTGGTATTGTTTAATTTTATCTCTGGTTTGTTTCACTTGCTGCAAAATATAAAAACTTAATAACAATACATTCCTGATAGTTTTGAGGTTATAACATACTATACAATTCCAATATTCATATATGTTCAACACCATTTTTTGCTGACAATATATTATAAATTATATAATCGATAACAATTCAAGGGAACTGTAATCAAGTGTAATGATAAAAGCACGATTTAGTTAAATTCAATTATAAAGTATGTAGAGGTTAAGACGGTGGCTTACCAGGATTGCTTTGTCCTGTTCGGTGATGCGACTTTGTTGCTTTTTCTTCGCGAAAAAGATCCCCATTTTGTTTACAATATTAGCTTGAGCTGCGAGCCAAATTTTAGGTTGAGACTCGCAAGCTCACAAGTCACGCTGAGCTTGACAGTTGCTAGCAGGCGTCAGCAGTATATCGATATGCCGGGTGGTAGCCATTTTAATCGTTCGAGATAGAAATTGCGATTCTCGAAGTGCACGCATGACGTCATTGCTTCCGCGCAGTATGGCGGCAGAGCCTTTTCAAGTATTTAATCGTTTCTGAATTGTGTTAGAATATTTCGTATTTTGCGAATCAGATATTTAGTGGTGAAACCGTAAAGTGATGAAAAAGTTTTACAGATCATAATGTGTAGTTTTAAAGTATTAGAATAGTGAAAAATATAGTTTTAGCGACTGAAGAGAGCCATGAGCCGGTAGCTAGAACAATCGTTAGAAGAACAGCTAGAACTTTGTGAAAATTACTTTGTTTAATTTTCTGCGAGGTAAGTTGTAAAGTAATTAGAAAGAAAATTGATCTATTTTATAACAACTTAATTCCAGTTTATGCAATTATGCTTTCTAATATGTATATTAAAGTTTATGTATATATTATATTATATGGGTATATATTAAATTTTTCATTAGATTTGTACATATGTATTTATACATTTATATTTGGTATTTATTCAAGTATTTTTTCAATTTGCAATATTAATGTTTGATGTATTAAATTTTTCTTCGGATTAAGTCTAATATTTATTGCAATAACATAAAAATCTTATATAAAATAAGGGATTAGATATACATTTTATTTTGCATAAAATATATCTAATATAAAAAAAAGATGATTTATAAAAATTAATAATATATTGAGAAAAAGGAAAAATAGGAGATAATATATATATATATATATATATATATATATATATATATGTATATATTATCTCACTAATAGGAGATAATATATATACATATATAAATCACAGAGACCTTAGATTGAATTGAACAATGTCTATTATATTATATATTTTATTCCCACATACACACGGCACGTTGTGAACCTTTTCTTAAATATTAATAATATTATCATAATAATAATAATAATCATAATCGTCCTTATCATCATCTTCATCATCCTTCATTATCTTCGTCATCGCAATAATAATAATTTCAATAATAATAAGTAAACAATAATAAACATAATAATGTGAATTCATGAGTTTCATATTTATATTTATGTATATATATTTATAATAAATCATATCGCAATAATCATCGTATCATATAATATATATTTATATGTACAGAGGGGTATAATATTGTTATTCTTTATTAGTTTAATATTTATAATCGCAATATTATATTTATTTTTGTTTGTATACATACACAATTAATTAGATTATCGGCCCTTGCTCGCGCCTTTTGGCGGATAATTTCTCACTTTCTATCTTTTGTTTCTATCTCGCGTTTCCCACTTAAACATCCCGGGACCGAGTATTCTCCCACAATTGCTCGAGTGTCGCGCAATCGAACGATCTCGTACCTCTTTCTCCGTTTGAGAAAAGCATCGCCGACGGACCCGAAGTTCTTCAATCGATCGGGTTAATCGATCGGGTTAATCGATCGATTCGCTTCCCCGAACTTCGGTACTCCGCGATCGTTTTGTTTTTATTTTACAAAACATCCATTATAGTCTGGCCGCTTTTGGACAGAGAGTCGATCTCTTCTTCACCTAATTTTCGCTTCCAAATCTTGCTCGAGTGATTGAACACGATGCCTTTTGCTTTCTCGTAACAATCTTGACCGCGAGAAGAGGACGCTCGGTTCTCCCCCCAGCAGCGGGCCTTTCATAAATATTCTGTACAACGTTATAATTATTATAAATCATCAATATATCTTATATAGTCTTATAGTTATGTCATTATTATCGGTAGTGTAAAATTGAAACTTTTACGTACTTACGTAGATTAGATTAGCGTCTGCTCGCCCACTCGCTCGCAGGCGACCTATCGTTATGTATACATACCATTTTTTGTTCTTTTTCTTTTAAGTCAATACATAATCGTATAATTTAGTATGTCGCTATATGTACTGCAATCGTTTACGATTAGTAAGAATATGTAAAATTGGTATTTCATCTTATCCCTTGGCTTGCTTGTTTATAATTCAATAAATCTCGTTTAAGCATCCACATAATCATTTAATATACATGGAATTAAAAGGGGCTTAGTTATTGCTTGTTATATTGCAAGTTTCCTCATTGCAAGCTGTGCCATGCCGTCGAGCTTTTTCGCATTCGTTACTCCTCTTTACCACTATTTGCGATCCTCTCGCTGCGAATCACAGAAATTATGCCCGAAAGTTTGGTTTTCCTCATTCGCTATTCACATCATCGAATGTGAATAACAAGACATCATCAGACCTAATATATATGTATAGTATAAGCGTTTATCGAATCATTATAGTTTATCGCTGTTAAAAAATCGGAATTTAACGTTCGGAATCAATGATAGTACGAAACCTCTTAATTCATCATTTGGCGTTGCGAAATAACATACCATAAAATTAGATCTTACAAATTACTTAGCGTTTAATAATAATGCAATGCGGAAAAATTGCTAGTATGTTTGCAGATTATTTTGTATGTCATCGCTTTCTTGAAAATCTTAGTAAACGGACTTACATCATTGCACCTGAATATATAAAAAATGACACGTGTATACTTTCTAAAATAATATTTACACATGATTTTTCAGAAACAAAAAGAAAAACAAAAGACTTATTTTGCAGCAATCATAATTGTCATAAATTCTTGTGAATTACGATATTACTGATTGTTATTGTACAGGAAATAAAATAGAAATTTATCAGACAATTAATAACGATACATTACGTTACACGTCATAAATTCACTTGATATGTAAATTTTACATATAAAAACATATAAAATCAACTTTTTTTGCTTTGTGTTTTTGTTAATAAAATAATCGTGTCATTATATAATTCTATATTCTTTATAAATATCAGTTTTAAACGATAACGTTATAACTTCAAATATTAAATGATGTAACAATGTAACAAATTATTAATGAATTAGACATCAAGAAAACTAAACAAAATGCGATCGTAGGATATTCATCCATATCCTTTTCGTTTAAATGGGCAGATTGACATAGCACAGTTATCAAAATATTACGAAGAGTACAAAGAATTACTTTAGTAGCACAAAAGCGTTGTATTAATTAATGTAACACAATATAATTTAGATTTTAGAAAATGCATATTTCAAATTATTACTCAATCTTTCTGAATTGCATCAATTAAATTAGTCTTATGGCAGACGATTCGATATCTTACACGATAAATATATGCATCGACATCGCATAAAAGAAAACTATATCAAAGATATGGACCGAATAATCTCATGGATCAAAAGACTAATTAAAGAACTGATGGAGAACTTTGCAGTTGTAAAACTGCTTTTGGCAAGTAATGAATCTTGTGAAAAAGTCGACCAGTAATTTGTCATTCGACAAAATAACGAGTTACAAGCGCTGATTAAAGGGAACAAACATTTTCAAAAGACTCATTTTTTACCAAATTATTCTTACATAATTATCGCTGCGCTCGTAGAAATTATATAATGTGTTAGAATAATTATAGCAATGATAATTTCGGTGGAGTCCAGATGTGACGTTTGATTAATTCGACGGTTAGCAAATCTTGACTAAAGTTCGCACTTTTGCACGCAGGAAGAATATTAACAGTTGTCGGTTACGTGTAACGGCACATATGAACGTACGCAAAGTGTAATTACATTGTCATATAAGTAGCATGATGTCTTGCGAGATACATATAGAGTATATACATATCGTATATAGGGTTATATTTATATTATATTCGCGCGTATCCCAATATGGATCGCCGTTATCCGTCATTTCGCTAATATATCGTACGTATCGCTGCTTAGCAAGCCTCATTAACGCAAGTAACTTAATTTAGGGACGACGATTGTTCCCCGGGACACGTTTCGAAATAAAAAAAAAAAAGTTTAACGCATTCACTGCCGGTTCTTATTTGTATGAGCGGCTCTTCCGTCGCCTGGCTATTCAGAACTCGTGAGAGCGAAGACAACAGTGCACTACGGTCGGCAGTGAATGAGTTGTCACAAGCGCTACTGAAAATAAAGGAAAAGAGCGTTGCGATAGTTCGTGAGTGGCGAACGCAATGTTATTAATGTTGACAGCAATAACGTATTACTAATCGTAACAGAACTCAACAGACGGAAACTAACAAGCTTAATTTTCCGTCAGGAAAATTAATTCTAATAGGACTTCTGTCCTGTTCAGCTCCGTGATTCAGGCTTAAGACTAGATACACGCGATACCAAATCGGCCGTGTGACTTGAGACTCATTCTATTTAACTCTCTTAACTGATTAGATCGTGTTTTTTTTTGTTTTTTTTTTGTTTTTTTGTTTGTTTAAAGTGCCTTTAGGATACCAATCGAGATTGGTAGCGTGATAGTTTTTATAACTTCGCACGTGTCCCGTGGAGGAAGCGAGTTTGCGTTTAGGGTGGTTTATCTACTTAAGAGTTTTACTCTCTGAGAGTGAGCTTCAACGGTCAAGCTTAGTGTCCATTTGGGGTTTCTCTCGCTTCAGTTCGTCGATTTTTTTATTCATAGTAAAATTTTTTTGCATATACTTTGAATGAATCAATCTAAGAATTTCATTGTTTAAAAGTAAATTGCGATAAATGAATAAGTTTACAACATGAGAACAAACGTAGAAAGTATTTTCCTAATCCACCTAAGCCATTAATCTATCTAGACACTCATTTAATACTTTGAGAATAATTTTTTACAACAAAAAATCACAGTGTGCATTTAACTGAAATTTTTGACACGTTGCTCGCAGATGTAGAAACTTCTCAAATGGACACACAATCTTCGACCGAAAGCAAAACACGTAATCTCGAGAACTGTTGGTGCTGTTGCACAATATATATATATATATTTTTTTTTTTTTGATAATTGCTTAACTACCTACGGATTCCAGGGAGCTTTTTGTTCGATATTCTCGAGCCGTTCACATTGTGGGAAGAGCTACGAGGACCCGATCGCATTTCCTTGCAAATTGTTCCGGCTGCCGGTTCTCGCGTTC